TTACCAGTACCCCCCACCAAAACAAAAGATGGCAGAAGGCATGTGCTGGAGGCCAGCCTGGACTGACACAGCAAGACTGATCTCAAGTAAATAAAGGGGGAAAAAAAATGGCAGAAGAGATGTTAAACTGGGAAATCAACTCTTAAATCGAATAACATGGAAAATATTTTTCAGAATGTTAAAGATCAGAGCAGCGCTCTAAACCAAAATCTAAACAGGAAAAGGGATACTAAATTCACAGAAGGGAAAAACCATTTAGCAAAAAATAAATTTTTTATCTTCAGATTGCTGGAAACGGGGACAATCTAGGAAAATTTCTTAAGTTTTGAGATGGCTTTAACTAAGAAAAAAGATTGTTGCCCCATAGCAAAGGGACTCCCCGGGTGCCTTTCAGCTTTCACGCTTGGGCCCAAGAGCAAAGCAGCTCGCAGTTAGCTCACTCCAACACTCCAGCCTGACGTCTCTGCTCTGTATCTGAGGCAAAGCCACGAGGACCACAGTCGTCCACCCCAACGCTGGCCCCTCCTTCTCCAGGGCGAGGCACTTTCTATAAGTAAAGAGTTCAAAGTGAGAGTGGTCTACAAAAGCAGTTGTTTTTATGGCTCAGTAAATGTTTACTGAAGTGTTCCATCCTCTGACCACCCCTGGCTCATCCAGCTGCCCTTGTGGACAGGGACGGGGCGGAGCAGGCAGCCTGCTTTATGAGGCAGTGTCAGCTGATGGACTCTCTAGGCATTTGGGACAGTAGCTGTCACTTTGCCTTAATGCGAAATGAAACAACCAAAACTCAAGCCCGAGTGGAAAAACTGGAAAAGAAAAACATGCATGTGCAGAAGTGAACCAAAGCTACAGGGGTCACTCTCATGTACAGACAAGAAACAGAAGATACTTTTGTTCTTTCCAGAAGTACAACCCAGGGAGGAAGAGTTTTTGACACCTTAAAAACAGGCGAAATGTGATATTTGGGGCAGGCTACTTACTTCAAAACCCTAAAGAAACAAGACACCGAGGGATTTAATCTTCAGGTATTCAGAATCAATTACTCAATTCTAGAAGAATGTAATTCCCTCCTTTCATTGGTACATAATACTGTCAGCAATATTGTCCAGTGAGCTAAAAAGGGCAACTTTATGATTCAAAAATGAGAAAATAAGGCAGGAACTCACTGTGCCCTATAGCAGGAAAAGCCCAGGCCGGGCTGCACCTGTGAGGGCAGCAGGATGGGCAGGCACCTGGGTACCAGTGCATCATGACATCATCAAACAGCATGGGTAGGAGGTCTTGTTTTAAAACAGCAAACAGATCAGAAATGTTGAGGAATTAAAATTAATGCAAAACTCTCATGGGGATCAAGACGTGGTGAAACGGGATTCTTCAAGGTGGGGTGGAGGACCCCAGACCTGGAAGTTTCCCACCACAGTATTCCAAATCTGGTTCTGAATCCACTGGAAGGAAGAAAAATGTGACGCTGAGACCCACACCAAAGAAGAGCACTGACGACTGCAACAAAGAAGCGTGCAGCTTTTACAAATGCTAACCCTGAGGTGAAGCAATCTGAGTTCAAGCACTGACAGCCACTGACTGGCCGGGCTGTGTGTGAGCGAGCAAATCCCCTGACCTTTCCAGGTCTGAGAGTCATCTTCAGGAAAATAAAAGGAACTAAACTATGTGAGTTGAATAGTGGCTGCAAGCTTTAAATCCTAGGAAGTTAGAGACTGGGAGAGGCAAATAGTGGTCTTTTAGGAAAAGAAAGGCCCAGGGCAATGATGGGGAACCTTCTAAATCTTTCAACCATACCAACAGCCTGCTGTGGCACGCGTGCCATAGGTTCGCCACCCCTGGCTGAGAGCAACACTCAGCTCAGCTGTTCAACAGACCCCCAGCCACTCACCCCCACCCGCTCTGTGCCTACACCCATAACCCAGAAGGGCATGGCCTGAACTTGGACATTCCATGCCTCGGATCACTTACTGGATGACATCTCTGTCTCCTACCCTCCTAACAGGGTGCAATTTTCTCAAAGCAGGGAAAAATCTTTGCCAAGAAAATAAACACTTCCAAACAACTGTCCCATTCTGTTACCTATTTGAATTACATAATTACTGTGAAGTTAAAACTTTCATACTGACATGCCAAAAAGAATTCTTGGCTCATACAAGCCAAGCAGCCTTTTTCTCCACTGTTCAAAATCCTGAAAAAACAAACAAACAAACAAAAAACTCTGTGCCTTTCTAAAAAGCAATCACCAGTGCTAACTAATGGTAATAAAAAGCTCCACTGCCTCACCTCTGCTTGGAATAGAAATTCAGATCAAAATATTTCCAAGTCTGTGGGGATATAACAAATCCTGTACACGACATTTTCCACTAATGTCAACAATAATAGATCCTTACTAACGCCCCAGATGGCCCTGCACTGAGTACTTTTCCAGTTCAATTAAGAATAATTTAAACAAGTGTTGATTTTAACTTTTTTGTTCTACTCCATGTAAAACCGGGCTGTCAAATGGAATCATTTAGCAGCCATCGAGTGAGTGGAAGAGCCAGTCTCTCTACCAACTCTCATGCCATTTACTAGGGGGGGCCCTTTCAGGAGTGTGTTGCAGGGGGCGGAGGAGCACGGAGCCTGGGTGACTAGATTCCCACAGAGTACAGCACTTACTCTTCTGGTGGAGGTAGCAGAAAAGGCTGAGGGTACTTTTTATAACCTGCTTTAACTGGTTCACCCAAATCAATGCAGAAATATTCCCCTCCTATAATCCTGGACTTTGCTCACTGAGTCCTCACAAAGATTAAATTAGATAATGCACGTAAACTGCCAAGTCAGAGCCTGGTGCAAGATGAACTCAACAAATAAATGTTAGGCACTGTAAACAAACCAACCCCAAAACACGGATTGTTTCCTGATCCCTATCAGCTTACTTAGAATATTGAAACATGAGGAAATCAGTTTGCTGGCACACTCTGGAGAAGTCTGGGCTGTCCTCTAGCTTGAAGTCACTGGTCAGAGTATGCAGAACCCCCCATAACCCCATTAGGTATTCACTCGTGTCCTGCTATTGCCTCCTCTGTTCCAAAAACTAAGAAAATGCAAAGGTTTCAAACAACGAGAACGGAAATGCAAAACACCTTTAAAGAAATCCTACAAGGACACTTGTGAAAGCTTTGCCAGACAAACATGCAACACTAGACAGATGTGGGAGCGGAGCAGCACAGAATCCCTCAAGACCAGACTCTGAAAGTGTAACTCTTCAAATTTTAGGCTACAATAAATTCTCAAGACACACCCAGCTGTCTTCCCAGGATGGCTCTTCTATTTGGATGCACAGTATGTTTTCCTTCCTCCTTCCAGGCACAAACTTTTGAGATTTTAAAGTTCTTCATAAAAATAAGCTAAGCTACAGAATCAATCTCTACTATAATTTGTAACTGGATTTTCTATTCACTCAGGATATATATGGAATATACAAGGTTCACCTTTCAGATGATAATTACTAGAATTTATCTGTGGCAGGCAATTTTGAAAAAGACGGCAAAATAAATGCCTGGATTCCAGAAAAGATAGTACGCTCCTAACAGTTGTGAGACTGCAGCAAAAAGAGAAAGTGGCCATAAAAAAAAATCCTAATTTTTATTTAGCACTGTGTCACTTCAGCTTGTAAAAGACCGGGCTGGGACACAATTTCTGTAGATACTAAACAGTTGTGGAAATACGAAGGGCCTCAATGTTATGCCTATTCAGCTTGTAAAAGGCCAGGCCATGTGGCAATTCTTGCAGTATCTAAACCATGCTTTCCAAAATGAGTACAGCCCTTAATGTCAGAGAACGGGTGAGTTACGTTCTACTTCTTGCTGAATTATTTGCCTTATGTCACTTGATACAGGTTTTATGGTGGCTCTCTATTACCATGCAAGTGTACATTCTCTACAATTCAAAATAATAAGTGCAACTTGTAAAAGTCAGGCTTACTTTTATTTAATACATTCTAATCAAATAGTAACAGCAGTAAATAAACACTTTTAAAAATGGGCAGATATCCCCCTATATCTGGAAGAAAATTAAGTCAAAGTCATGGCAGAAGGGAGATAAACTACTGATGTCCATGGTTAGACAATTTAGACAACTTGGAAATTTCTAAAGCCATTTCCAAAAAAAAAGATGGTAACAATTTGGGACACAGCTACTTCAAAGGGTAAAATGTCTATATTGACATAGTATTCTATGAACAGGGATTGGATTGCACCTGGATAGCATGACATTCTCGTCTTTAGCCTTAAAGGAAAAGAGAATGTCTTTTCCATTTGCACCAGTTTGAAATGTTTCTGAAATAAGGCTTCCTTAGAGTGGATTACTACAGTACTCATTCACAGAGCGACTTCATACATGTAGTAAAAAGACAAATACAGGACTTCATGGTCATTTGTTTTGGTTGGTTTGGGTAATTGCATAAAATGAGGGATAAATACAAGCAGAATCTTTTAAACAAAATTCCTAGGTACATCAGAATGCAAAATATAAAACATCCTAAAACAGACTGACGGGCAGGCATTCAGAAAGGAAGTCACACCTGTGTCAGCTTGATCTCGCTCCCTTCTCCAGTACAGCACCCAGAGTCCTTTGAGGAGCTCTCTGCTGGTGCTTGGAGCTTGGAGCTTAGACCTTTGACCTAATATACAGGAACTTTGGAAAGGCAAGGTGTCCTGATAAAATGCTCCCGGGCCTTTACTTTGGGACATTTTATTTTTTGAATTTAAAAGGATCAATTGGTCTTGATCAGTCTTAGGAAAGGAAGCATTGCTCAGGTAGGTGGAAATATCTAAGGAAACTTTAAATACCTAGCTACCTCTTCAAGCATTTAAATTAGATTGACTTCAGCTGTTCTTAGCAAGGATTCTGTGCAGAGTTCCAGAGCAGTCACTCAAGTTTTGGTTCTCTTTTACATAGCTGCATTCGGAGATACTCTAACTGAGGCAAGTTTAGAAAAAGAGAAACACTTATACCTGGAACTTATACTCTTCCAAGTAACCTTTGAGTCTTGTTGGTAAAGGCAGTCCCCAGACGGTACCCGTGCATCTGTTAATGGTGAGTCGGCAGAGGTGCTGCAGGGAGGGTGCGGATGTGTAGAGCGGTTTGGTCAGGTAGAGGTGAACAGTCCCGTTTCGGGGGGCTTCCGGGCCTGTCCGCTTATCCTTACACATCTGCACATAGTAGTCAATCAGGTGAACCACGCTGTCGAACTGCTTCAGCTTGGACTTGACACATATGATAGAATCCAGTCTGAACTTCCCATCTTGGTATTCGATTCGCAGATTCGTTGGCCCAGCTGATGTTTTAACAGATATTGTTAGTAGGTAGTCTGAATGCGAACTATCTCTAATCAAGAAAGTTCCTTCTGGTGCTTCCTTTAATTTCTCTTTGGCTTCATTAACAGTCATATTTCCCCAGTACCATCCTGGGATTTTTGTTCACAAAGAAAAAGAAAAGAGAGTAAAATGGTTATTAATTTTTAGAACAGGGTATGTACTCGGCAGAAATTTTCCTAGCTCTAAAAACCAAACAAAATCAAACAAAAAACTACATGTGCCCGAGCTTTCAGGGGGCTGCCACAAATACTTTTGGTAGGCATTTCAATGAAAATTCGAGTCCGTTTTATTTTACAAACTCAAACTGTGGCTGGTTGCTTTCTTGCTTTTCTTCCTTTTAAAAATAACTGTCTGAAGGCCCTCTTCAAGACTTTCTTCTGGGACAAAAGAACATGCTGTATGACACACACTAACAAAGCATTATGCTTTTAGTTCTGTTTTAACTGAAACAAAAACTAAGTAAATAAGAAACGTATTAAAAGTTAGAAATAAAAGTGTAAAACCCGACCCCGGTAGAGTAAAATTAGAAGCAACTTTTCCGGATAGTAGGTTTTCTGGATAGTGCTTCCCTTACACAGACTCTAGTTTAAAAGTTCAAGCTCTCCTACAGTAGCTCCTGTTAACTGTTTTGATTACAACTATTTATTTCAAGTCACTGAGAATTCGAAGCCCCAACTGATCATTAGTACTTCAACTTTATAATCTTTCCTAAATTCTAGGACTTTGACCTGATTCAAGTTCAGTCACAACAGTCGGTCTCCATTTAATCAGCCTCAGCCATCGGCCTGGCCCATCTCGTTTTCAAAAATGACTCGGGGACATTGCACATTGGAGAAGTTCGAACAATGGGCTTCCCCCACATCCACGCCCCCCCCCAAATTACCGGGATATAGGTCATCGGCGGGTCCCTCACTCAAGGGAAAGCCCAGGCCCGAAACCAAAGACAGAAGCCCCAAGGGTGGAACTTTTTCCCTCTTCCTCTGCCTATTACTACGGAAACTTCAACGAAAACACAAGCTTTAGAATCCAGATCGTGAAGCCTGATGAAGTGCTAGATATTTTACAAAGATCTTTCCTTTTCGACTCCGAACTGCACACAGCGCTGGGCTGCCCTAGAACCACCAGCTGCGCTCAGCAGGGGCTTCCCTGCCGGGCTCCGGTCCCTTGGTCCCCGCACTTGGCACCAGGATCTCCGACTGCAGCTGAGGCCCCGCCTGGAAGCCCAACGCAGCCGGGCTGCAGGGAGCGCAGCGCCCACTTGCTGCCTGCGCGCCCTGCAGGAAAGGAGGCTCCGGGAGCTTTCCCCAGCCAGGCTTCCAGCCCGAGCGATCGCCTACCGCAGTGCAACTTCCAGCGCCCTAAGAGGCTGTGTCCGAGGAGCCCCGCTCGCGCACTGCCCACCCCCAAGCCTCTGGGTCCCTGGAGAAACACTTTCATTTCGCATTTCCCACGGATCTGGCGCCAAGCGCACAGGCAGCGCTGTTTGTCCCCCGCTCAGAAGCATGCATGGGAAGCCCGTGACACTCCCAACCCATCTTCGCGGCCCCACTTCCCAGCTGCTCCTCTGAAAGGGGCCCGCCTCCCGCACGAGTCGCCCCGTCCACTCCTTACCTGTGTAGCCCAGCTCGCGCAGGGCCTTCGCCAGACGCGCGGCCTCTGGGGACGGCTCCTCGGCCGACCCCGCGGTCCCCCACTGGCTGTGCGTCCCTTCCGCACCATTCCCGGAGGGCTCAAGGCACCGCAGGGTCATGGGAAAAAGGGTCACCGCGGCAAGGACAGGTGGCCGCCCGAGCTGGAGTCAGAGGAACTCTTCCCTCCTGGAAGTCAGATGGAGCCCCAAAGAGAGAGCCTGCGGGGTGTCCGAAGAGGTGGAGGAGCGGGAGGGGTTGGGGAGCTACCGCTTCTCTCTCCCCAAGTCCTGGAGGACGGATGGTCAAGTCTCCCGCAGATGTGGTCACACTCAGATCGCCTGAGAAGAGATAGTGATGCGGAGGTTGGATCAGTCCCAATTGGACCCCTGTGAACGGGGTGGGGTCACCGAGACGTGAAAAATCCCAGGGACTCCTCCGCCTAGTCCCCAAGCATCCAGTTACCGCCCGGGCCCAGCTCTGGAGAAAGATGGATGAAAACTGAGAGGGATCCAAGGAACAAGAGCTGGCGGGGGTGGAGGGACGGTGTGGGGATGGGGGTGGACGAGGTGTCTTCCCGCCCAGGGCTGCAGGCTGCGATCACAAACAGCCTAGGGAAATTAAGAGTTATCTGCGGGTCTAGTGGGGGCTAGGGCCTTGTCAAGGACAAGTACAGAATTTTTACAAGGAAGAGACCAGCACAGCTCCCCAAACTGGCGTTTCCATGCCGGCCCGGGAAGACTGCCTCACTTCCCCCCACCCCGCAGCCCGGGGCGCGCCGAGACGGCGGCTCCCAGAGCCGGACCTGCTGCGGC